CAATATCATCGTTCTTGCACTAGTAGCTATTCTCATAGCCATCATTGGACGAAAAGGGAGCATCCACAGAGTCAGTACAAAGATTCGAGACGAGAGACGCTACGGTCAACGTATTATCTGCCACACCATCCCATACAGCGTGTAGGCTGTCGACTTACTTCGCTGGAAGGCCTCCATCGGGCCATTTCTAGCTCATCACATACAGCTGCTATTGACAAAATCAACTTGGAATAGGCCTCATCCGGAAAAGTTTCATTCGTCGCCGCTGCTCGACATTGGAGGCTGCAGTTATCACAACCCAAATGAAGCCTCTCGCCAATTAGTCGGCTATCTACTTCTTACAGCACCCTTGCCAACACACACTCCATCTTAATTAGCGACTTGTACGATATTCTACCTTGAAGAATAGAGAAAATGGATGTGACCTCGCTTCTTAACACTTCTCGACGACCCAGCTACAGGGGAGGCAGTATCGAGGGCCCATCACCCCATCCCGGCCATGACAGAGTTGCCTCTGCCCCAAACATTCCGCCAAACCCTTGCACTGAAGATGCAAAGGATGGCCTGAATAGATCTAAGTGGAAAAATGCCAGATTGTGGGATGGACGGGAAACAGCAGAATCTCAGATCGATGAACTAGATCCCTTGTCAAGAAGAGCAGGGTTTCCCGTTTCGCCAAAAGATATCCATAAATCAATCTTCGAAACGAATGGCCGGTCAAGACAGCCCTCAACAGATTCTATATTGGCAGTTATATCTCCGCCGTCCATGCGCTTAGCAAGGCATAGCCTACCTTAGTGAGTAGGATGGAGTCTTTTGAATCATTGTTGTCAAATATTGATGGCACTATTTCCTATTTCACCGGATCCTTGGCTTACAAGCTGTATCTTTTAGTGACAATCCTCGGTTATGCTCAATTCGGTAAGCCAATTCGTTTTTTGGGACAAACTCTTGTCCCAAGGGCTAATTTAGCAAATCAAGACGAAGGTAGAGAGAAAAGTGTTAACGTGAATAATAGGCTGCCTCATCGAGATCACCGCGCTAGCTATTCGGGAGAGAGTTCGACAATTCCCAAACACAAGATCTCAATTAGCAGCAGCAGCAATTTTACATCGCCGGACTCTCCGCAGTCGGAGGAATATCATTCGAGATTATCGTCGGTGGCATCTGTCAGCGGGATATCGTCAATGAGCATACCCATTGTGGAGATACCCTCGATCGATACTAAGCTTTTGGAGGCTCGAAACTTCCCATCAAGTTATGGCATCGCATCGCAACCTCCATCTCCTCCACTCACAGAGAAGAGTTCAATCGCAGTGCAAAGCAGAACAAGAATAATGAAGCAGTTCCTTGACGACTCATCGGCCGCTATTCTGAACTGGAACAATTTGGATAAGCCTGGGCTTTTTGGACAAGATTCACGGTATGTTTTTCAGATTTTCCTTTTCAGTCACCTAGGATACTAGTATAAATATTGCTGCTCACTTGTAGAGCGCAAAATGAGCTTCTGAAATGATGCACAAGACACGGATTCTCTAAGCACGGCCTAAAGTATTTTTTTCTTCTTTTTTTTTTTTCTTTCGGGCTCACCGCTCTTGTTTTGTTCTTAAAGAGTGACGATACAGTTCAGATCTGGATTTTGAATAGTGATTCTTTGAGCAAGTGCTTCAATATCGCAATGGATATCTTCGGTGTTGAACTCCAGATGACATGAGCTGTGAATCACCGATACGACCTGACCCCTCGCCCGCGAGCAGTTCTAGCAGAAGAGACTGATAGGAGACGAACGCTATGAGAAGTGCTTCGGATGCTCGCGTGGCCGGAGGACAGCTGGTGTGCTGCGTCACTGCGAGGAAATTTCGTTGCCAGCTGGCGGAATTTCCTGCTTATAAAATCTCGGTCCCAAAGTTCAGGCTCCTGTTCCCACATCATCCTCTTGCCAGCTTTCTATTGTCAACGCACAGTCCCTTACAATTCCTGAGTTCAAGTCGCACGTCGTGTTGCTTCCTACCACATTCGAGCATCTTTGCCTCCGGTTAACTCTTCGAGATTCAAAAGCTAAAGTTGTTCAATAACAGTTTTGACCCGACCACTCGCCCTCTATATCATAGAAGAGCCACATCTGCTCCTATCCCTGCCTCCCGGTTGACAACATCAGTGCCAAACGCTTTGAGACGTCGCCATCTCATGCCTTCATCCACTCGACCAGAGATGGACGAGGCTGCGGTGAAAAGCCTGCCGACCCAGGCAGAAGCGCCTAGACCAGCCATGCCCAGCAGCTACCCGAAGCTCGATGCGGACCGTCATGTACTGAGCCATCAGGCAACGAAAAAAGGTCACATAAAGGAAGCTGTTGACTGTTTGCATGCCTGTGAAGCTGACTTACAATATGCAGACCAAGTTTCCGACCCGGCATCTGACATTGTCCCTTTGATTCAGCAAGGCCGCAATATGGGCGGACAAGTACCACTCGATGCCTTGAGCGTGAGACCAGTAACTCCGCAAGAAGAAGAGCCTCGATGCATGTTTGTTGACGACTGCCAAACCGGCTCGCAACTACGCAAAGCCATCTCACATCTCTTTGGACGGAACAAAGCGTGTACTCTTCGTATTCCAAAACATGTGTGGGTGTACTATTGCCGCAAACATTATCAACGGATCAGGTATCGAAATGCCAAGACGTACCCTCTCAACCAGATGCATCTCGTCAAGATGCAGATCACTCGACTTCAGGAGTGGAGCGAGAGCAACCGACGCCAGAGATCAGGTCCTTATATCAGACTTTGGACCCTGACATTGCGCAAGCGAGAGCAAAACCGTCTCGACAAGGAAGGCGGCCCAGCAGATGAAGGCGATGATGATGCTTTGGAGGCTCAAACCGGCTCGGCCGCTCCAGAATGGGTCATCCACCGTCTAGGAACCGGATATACAACCGAGCAAATGCTTGAGGTGGCAGAACGCCTGTACCAAGAGATTAAAGATGAGATCCTTACGCGGGTCCCTGAAATTGAGTTCTTGCCTGATATCATCGAGTCAGACGGCGGAGGTATTGCGAAGCTTATCAGAACTCGTAAAAACATTCGTACAGCTGCTACCGAAACACAAAGCAGAGCACCTAAGCGAAAGATTTCCGAGGTGGCAGACGCTGTCATCCAGAGCCGCTTCACGTCTTTCAACCAGCACGATACGGGTGACTTTGAGAGCCCATCGAGAAAGCGAGTACGCGTCGGGCCTCCTCAAGCCTACCAGCACAAGCAGTCTCTTCCCATGCCGCTTCCCTCCATTGTCATGCCGTCTGCCGATTCCCAGTATGCTGTGCCGCGCACTCTACCCGCTATTCCCAGAATGCAGGCACTGCCTCTAGATCATGCTTATGGATCTGATGCATACATGCATGGGCTTTCTTCTAGCCGTCCCGGTCCTCCAATTGGTTTCTATGGCCACGACTCCCAGCAGTATGCAGATCACTATCAGACGGGCGTCGGCTCTGCTCAGCCATCTCTCTTTCAGCGAGAGGGAGAGTATCACAAGCAACACCAGAGACTGCCGTCTATCAGTGATCATTTGTCGGTGGCAAACGGTTATTCGGCTGCCTCGCCGTATAGAGGCTCCGGACCATTCAATGAGGGCCCAAACATGCAACGACCCCTTCACTTGCGATCCTATAGTGCAAACGTTGCCACGACTCAATCCGGCTTTGAGTACCCCCGTCCTATCAGTTCTGGCGGAGCCGTGCAGCCTGATCTGGCATATTTCGACAATAGAGCGACGGCGGATTATCCAAGCACTCGCGGTTATGCTATAGAACAGCGACCTGACTCAAGCCACGCCTACACCACGGGCTGGCCTCAGAGCTCAGCTTCCCAGCAGCAAACCTATTACGCATCTAGCTCGGCACACGATCATGTTGCTCGCTCTCATGTGGATGCCCGGCGAGCTTCGACTTATCACGGTTCACCGATTCATGGAGCTACTTCAAAGAGAGCTCAGCATGAGGAAGTTCACTATGGCAACGCCTGGCCTCACACTGACCGGGCCGTTAAGAAGACAGCTAAGGACGTGCGCGAGGATTAGTTGCTGTGTCTGGTCTTTCCTACGGCAAGCCAACAGTTTGCTGCTTGGGAAATCATCACTGCCATATTCTTTTTCTTTTATGTAACACACATATGTTGTTGTATTTGGCTCTTCTGTTCGGTTTGGCGACCTCGTCTCTGCTCTCTTTTTTTCATCTGTGCTTCTTTATGGCGCGCTGTCTTTACACATACCATTACGATGAATGGCCAAGGAAGGCTGCATCAAAAAAGTCTAGATTTTCTTTATGCTACTTTTGTGAATTGTGTTATTCTCTTTTATTCTATTGTTCGCGCTTTTTTCTTTCTTCTTCTGTTACTTTTTTTCTCTCTTTCTTTACTCATTTTAGATCTTGAGTTGACTACAATGTCTATGACGGATAGGCATAGGACTGATAAACTGGCTTTTACGAGAAACACTTGGGGAATGCGGTTATCTCAATACAACTGATGCTCGGCTGATTGTTCAGATGAGGTTAGCTATGGAGGCGGCTCCGAGGAGCGTTCGTTCCCAACTTGGGGAGACAAGACTGTGCTGGAAGAGAGAAAAGGGGGTTGATTCGGAACAATTGCAGATGAGGCGTTTGATTTGTTTGCCAAGGGCTCGCCCTTTCTTTCTTCTTTTCATCTACGACATCAAAACGAGAAATGAGAGAAGAAAAAATGGAAGAGGGCTTTTTAACAGCACCTTCTGAGGAAACGAGAATTGAGCGTGCATTTTGGCTTTTGTTAGGGTGGCTTGGAAGTGGTTGATAACATGGAGAATATCAGGAGAGGAATTTTAGATGTCGCCATTTGGGCTTGCTTATTCTATGAAGTGGACACCAAAGGCTCATTCTGGTATGTATGAAATAGATGAAATAAATAAAACGGCTCTTGCTTTCTTCTTCCTTCTAAATGCTTCGCTTCGCTTCTATTTTTGTCATTTCTTTACTCTCTAAACATGACGATACCGCCATCCCACTCGCTCAACTCTCCCACATTCGCCCTCCCAACCTCGTTAAACCCAAATCTCGTATAGAACCGATCCGTCCCCCTCAGGCCAATCAGCCAGACCTTGCCCCTTGTCACCTTTTCACCGTCACTCTTCTTCTTCTGCTGCTTCTGCTGCTGATACGCATCGGCCATGTCCAGGCCTTGGTTCATGAGCAAGCCGCCCAGCCCGTGGCCCTGGTAGGACGGATGCACGGCCAGCGTGCTGAGGTACCACCACTCCTTGGGCTTCTTGTTTGCGAAGATGGCCTCTTCGATGGGCGGGAAGCAGCGGTCAAAGGCGGTGGCTGCGTAGAGGTCGACGGTGGGGAAGAGCTTGGTTTGGAGGGCGATGAAGTTGCGCACTATGGGGGCGATCCAGGCGACTGTGGAGAGGTGTTATTTTGCTGTCTTGTTTCTTACTTCTTTTGATGAACTGTTGACAACTTCATAGATCGTTCTTGTACAAAGAGACCAAAGCATAATGATACATGAAACAATCGCAAGTCTAAAGAAACCACAGGAAATGATAAGAAGAGAAGGAAAGAGAAAACTCACATATACTAAACCACCTCTCTACAAAGCCAATCTCTCCCGCCGGCTTCTTCCAGCAAGAAAACCCAACAACCTCCTCTTCGGCCTCTTCACCAGCCTCCTTGACAATGAATGTAAACATCCACTCCACGGACCAGAACCGCTTCGCATACAACCTGTACAGGTGGGTCTTGAACGCCACCGGATCTTGTTCTCTTTTCCCCGAGAACAAGATCTGGATCAGCTTGTCCGAGCCGAGACACGCATCGTAGAGACGCACCGCGTGGTTGAGGTCTGAGACGGAGCCTGGGCGGAGGCGAAACTGTGGAGGCATGTTGAGTCGCGTTTTGATAAATAACGAAGATACTGTATAACTGCGCCGAAGAAATTTGTTATGGGAAATAAGTTGTCGCTCGTTGTTTTTTTATACACTACAGAGTTGGCAACTCAAACATGTAGATACAGTCATATATGAATTACTCAGTGAAGATACAAAAAGTAGCGAAAACGGACTCAGTTTATAAGCTAGTAGTCAACCCATTTTCTGCTCTCCCCCTTGCTTTGCCGAATGAGTCAAACTAACCCTCTCCTACTGGCTGGACAAGTGCTGATATGGGGTATGGAAAAAAAAAAAAAATCTCAGAGACGATAACACCGATTATCGAACCAACTTCGGTCCCCACCTGCTATATTTGGTTAACAAGACACTACGAAAAGGGCGTACTGGGTGGTAAGTGTTTGCGAAGCACCCTCTGTTCTTCTTGATGCTACAGGTACTTATATGGGAGTTGCCACTTTTTCTGTTATTGATGCAGGTAGGGATTCTCCAGTATTTGATTGGAAGGATTAGAGTGCCATTTATAGAGACCTCAATCGTCAACTAGCGTCAGATCTCTTGTGGTCTTGTCACATGTAAATAGAGTCACAAAACGCACCAGACGCCTAATTCGGAGCAAGTTGAAGAGGGAAACCCGTTCGAGTCACCGTCTTTATTGTAAACGATGCCCATCAGTTTGTCAGTCACGTATTTTAAATTTCAATCAGCTTTGTTGATAACAATCGCTCAACTCGAGTTTCTATGGCCATCGTTTGCTCTACTTACAAGAGCCCTCTTGAGCCACGTCAAGTGCACGTTATTTTAAGACGGAAACAGTCGCAAGAGAATTATACACTGTTTTGTTTGTTTTGTATTTGATCTCAGTCAGGGCATGCTGTCGTAGAGACGATATATACATATACCGATGCAAGCTATTTTGCCCCTAGTGCTACAGAAACAATAGGCCTCCTCCGAATATGCCGATACTTCGTCCTCGCCTGCTTCATGAATCATACCTATACACGAATCATATACATGAACAATATGCCCACTCACGGCACCACCATGTTAGTAATCTTAAGACTGCCCATTGACAAACCGCACTTTTGGCCTCCTTTCGTTTTGAAAAAAGAGACGCTGGAAAGTTATTGAAACGCTGTGGTCGAACCCAAAACGAAAAAGATATAAACAAGAAAAGCTCCACAGAAAGAGCCAAGGACCCAAACACCGCAGACACGAGTCTGATGCTCCGCACACATGCATTCGAGAGAGAATAGGGAAGATGAAAAGAAAAAGATCCGGTCGATCCTTTGCTGTATCTCCAAACTTGTGGATTTTATGGGGCATTCCCCAGGATCAGGATGAGCAGCATGCCGTTGAGAAGGCATGAAGCGATAAAAATTCCCCAGACCGCCAGGCGGTAAGACAGCGATAGCTCGTCTTCTCGGTAAAGCGTCATACCGAGGCCGGAGCAGGCACAGAATAAGCTGACCACAGCTCCAACGGTAGCGCCGGCATCAACCTCGACTCGTAGCTTGTGCCGGCCCGTCGAGATGAGAATGCCGGCAATGCCGAGAAAGATAAAGGTGGCGCCGAAACACCCCATGGTGCCCCAAAACAGGACGCGCTCCCTGTAGCGTCGCAGCTGCTGGTTGTTGACGCTGGGCAGAGCATAGTGCGTGGCATATCCTCGCGTGGGGAAGCCGTCAGAACTGGCGTATGCCTCCTCTTCCTCGGAGTCGGTGTGCACCGCCGTCGTGGAACCGTACCCCTGGTTGATCGAGTCCCCGGATGAGAAGGGTGAAAAGAGGGGCTGTCGCTCGGCAGTCTGCGGCTTACCAAACCACTCCTTGGCCTTTTCAAAGGGAAACGATACGATGGCTTGGGCGTAGCTTAAGCCGGGGAATGTCGATTCTTGGTCGGGGTTGATATAGATAGCGTACTCTTCGTCGGCACCGCCTGCGTCGCTGCCATCATCGTACTCGTTCCAGTATTTGGGCTGCGTATCGTCGAAGCATGATGGGGGTAAAGGATCAAAAGCGACGCGATGCGAGCTTGAAGGCTGGTTCGAAGGGGCAACGGGAGTGTCGACGGATGAGGGAGAGCTCGGTTCGCTAAATGCTGGTGTGGCATGCCGAAGCTGTCGCTCAATTTCGTCGTGTCTCTCCTGAAGGTCTGTAAAGCTGCGTCGTGTGAAGCTCTTTGGGTGGCTTAGGATTTCTTCATTGAATCTGGAGCTTAAAGATGATGAACCAGTCCACTTCTGTTTGCGAAGTTAGCCAAGGAAAGTCTGGGCGGTTTATGGCGAGGTTGTGACGTTAACCGAGGCAAAAACATACCCTGTATTTCTTGAGAATTTTGCGAAACGCAACGACTTGCGCATTAACAAAACGCGACAAAGCCTGGGTATCCTCTCTGCACCGCAGCAATTCACGCTCATATTTTATGAATTTGCGCTGGTATCTAAGCGAAACACTCGGCGAGTCGGCTTGGAGGTGGTGGCTTTTGGCGGCAAACCGCCTGATATTGGCGGCAGTATGTTCTATAGTAGTGTTAGTAACTGGAGCTTGAATCTGAATTGACAATCGCACAAGTCGTACCTAAGCGTCTCGATACTTCATCCGCCTTGCTGGTAACAAATAAATCTAGGCGATCGTGCTGGTTGCAGAGCTCGGTAAACAGGGCGTCCTCAAATCGGCGCAGCGCCGTGTCTTGGTGGCCGGGAATGGTTAGAGCCGTGGCCTGGTCGCGGGTTGTATGGACTTTGATCTCATGCTTCAGAGAGTTGTAGTCGAGATTGTCTATAATGAGACCAAGTTAGAACGTAATTCTCTTTCCTTTGATTTGCCCTCTTCTGGAAGGATATTTGACGGCGCGGGACAGTGGTGGAGATGACCTACGCAGGCTCCATTCAGGAACAGACTCCCTCTCTAGCTGAACGCCGTATTTCATAGTTTGCTTGAACTGCTATGCGTAGAAACGGTTTTGAGTCAATCGAGAGAGGTTATCGATATAATTGCATCCTCTTTCAGCGGAGGGCGGTTTGAATTCGGAGCGTTGACAGCAGCGCAAACGGAAGAGCAAAGAAGCGTTGGTGGAGCAATTCAATTGGTCTCCAGAGGAGTTGAGTTATGTATGATTGTTGTAAGAGGCTGATACGAAAAGAGGAAGAGACAAGAGGAAAGTTTCTTTTCTATCTTTGTTCTTCGGTTCCCGGACCAGCTACAATAGAGTTGCGGCGGACTTAACGGGCGGCATGCACTTAGAATTGTCGACCCAGTACCGTCTACTGCAAAACAAAGCAAAGTAAAATAAAGAGCGAATCGAATGTCGCTGCGGCGTCGGATGGCGGAAGTGGCGTTCACTGGAGGAGGGAGGGAAAAAGCACCAGCGTATTTCAAAAAGCAAGAGGAACAGGTCCTTGTCAAGATGCCCAATCAAGAGCCAATCGCGGGCGGTGCGATAACGGCCAACTTTAAAAGAGGAACGAGGGATAAGGGGAGGAGGAAGATGGCGTAGATGGACTCGGGCTAGGAGAAGGGCAGAGCAGCGATAAGATAGTGCGGGAGGTATCGTATCAGATTAGCCGGCTGTTAGCAGACAGTGTTGGCGCCGCAGCCGGAGCGTGGACGGCGCAGAAGCAGAAGCAGAGAAGCAGGTGCAAGCAAGGAGGAGAAAGACAGAGGTCGATGGCAAGCGAAAGGGCGTTGCGATTGCGATATTATAGTAGCACTAGGTATCTACTATAGCCCCGAATGCCCTGGTTGTACGGGCGAGAAGCTGTACAGACCGAGTACTGCAGCAACTGCTCGGGGCCCACGATGACGCACAGGAGGCTGGAGGGACACACGACCAGAAGCTCGCGAACCGCAAATCCCGGGAGCTGGAAGCGAAGCAGAGGCAGAGGCAGAGGCAGAGAAGCAGGCCCGAAGGTAAAAAGACGTCGTCGATCGATTACGAGCATCCAGTTCAACCAACGAGCAGAGCAGGTCTGCGCACGGGGGTCGCGCGGCGTTATATCATCGGCCCCTGTGGAGTTTGTTCATTGTTCGGCCGGCGGCGAACAGAGGCAAAAGAGGAAAAAAAAGATGGAGATTGGATGGATGCCATTGATGGCTACTAACAAAGCCAAGGCACGCACCCTGGGCATGGCATGGCGGCAGAAAGATAAGGTGCCCACTATGGAGAACGCATACGTAGGACCGCCAGGGTGTGAATGGCGCCCCTGCAGCGGATTCCGCAGGCGCTTGGGGGGGACTGATGGCCTGATGGGGCACTGCCATGGGGGTTCTGCGCCATCCACGGGGCAGTTGGTTTTAGTGGCATGGCCGCCCTGTTGAGGGGGCCTCCAGCGGGCAGCGCAGGTTTAGTGTCGTCAATATATTCGACGTCTCCATAATGCTAATCACACGCAGGCGGAAGAACCTATCGACTGCTATTGTGTGGGACTAAGCCAAATCTATCTGTCCCGTTACTGCTTGCCACGGCGTTGAATACGAGAGTGTAGTTGCAGCGAGCTAGTACATGGCGAATAGGAACCGCAGGGAGGACGCAAAAAAGCCAACAAGGAAGTGAAAAAAGATGAGAGGAATAAGACATCAAGTGCATGATAATGGCGAGCTAATAAGACTAAATCCGTCCTACTACATGCTAGCCAGCTACAGCTAACCCAGCCAAGGAAGAGAAAGGACACAACCATTTTAACCAAAGAAGAAGTACCTAGTAATCACACGCACACACAAAGTATTTTTTCGCTATCCTTAGATGGCCGCAAACAGCACCTCTCTCCTACTACTTACTCGCATATTGTTGCACAACAGCGCCAAGAACTAATAGCTCCAGTCGTTCCAGACCCCTCCTCATGGAGAAGGAAAAAAAATCGACGGTCAACAAAACACCGGCCCCTCTATCCGAGTCGGGAGGAGAAGAGAGAGAGAGAGAACCGTTTAAGCAGAGCCCAATGCCCGAGTCAGTTCAAGATGAATTTGTCAAGGACCCATCCTAGAGTTTGGGTAATG